GCTTTTATATTTCATTGAGGGAAGGATAGATGCACCGTTGTTTTGATCCAATAACTTCTCCATTTCTCTTATATTTTCATGTTGTTTTATTTAGACAGGCCCTACTTTTTGGTGGACTATTACAAATCAGCTTAATGCATGCTGGACTTGCAAGGATGCCTTGAAAGAAGTACTACTGCTGAGCAGACAGGAAAGGGGGTTTGCTTTAGTATTAGAGGGTGTTCTGTTCAACTCTGACTGGTAGGTACAGACAGAGGTGAATAAAACTCCTGAAAGGGGCACATAGAATTTAAAAATGTGGTTACTGGTGTGATGTACAAAAAGCACAATGAAAAGCTTTTCTGAAAGTATTGTTAAGACGATTGAAATCAGCAATACTGTAAGGATTTTGAGAGCCTAATTTTGTGAGATTAACAGCCCCATTTCCTGTCCAAATAGGTTCAGATAAATTAATGTGACTATTGAATAATTATGCACTGCTTATCTGACTGAACTTCCAGTCCTAAAGATTCAGCATTTCTGGAAGGTCTGCTCAGCTATGGAAACCTTTAGAGAGACATTTTAACTGCAAGAGCACAGGCAACATCAGCTGATAAAATCTGACATTACCATGTCTCTAGTACCACATAAATATTTTCTTCCTGAGGCTCCAGTTTTTGACACTTTCTCCCTACTAGGAGATTGATCTTGTTCCCACATATGAAACAGGGACTATCAATGAGATATTATGGAATGTTTTTTTAGGATCACTGATGCACACGGCCTTACTTCATTACAGTGAGAAAATGACATTATGCATATTTGTAATAATGAAGAACAGCTTTAGTTCCATACCTGTTACAGTATGCATGTGATAAATAATGCTCTGTCCAAAGTTAAGCATACTAAATTTTGTTTTAATTGAGGCAAATATCATGCTCCTGTTTAGTGCAATTGAACATATTACCATTAATAAATGACTTGAATTTCCTTTGACATTTATGCTGCTTGCAGTACAATATTATCTTTTAATATGTTGCTATCTTGGAAGTCTTTCCATTCTTAGTATAGTCTGAAATTCGTACAATAAATTGCTGTCTATTGAATCTTTAAGCGTCATGACATTAAAATGTAGGCAAAATTAAACTGTCATGTTCCTTTTCACTTTTTTTTCCCCCTCAGTTCGTACCTGGCATTGATACCTGCTCAGAGCTTTGAAGCACCCATTTCCCTCTGTATGTAGCTAAATAGCTCTTGATTCATTAGCTAAGGTGTTAACTAAGAGCTGCAAGCCCATAATAATCTGGCAAAGAGAAAAGGTGGACATCTAAGTGCTGCTAGAGCTGAGCTATGCCCGAGTCTTTCTACTGTCTCTCCCAAGCTACATCCTTTAATTCCATTTGGTTCTTGCTGTCTTCCTCCACCAGCTTTTCTGAGTCTTACTCATTTCTTTCCAAGTACCCTTGCCACCTGCTTGTTCCCCTTTATGGCCCATCTTAAAGCTGTTTGTGGAAAGTGCAGCTCTAACACTTGCCAGAACACAAATGCCTGCTCTTTGTGCAAGGAAAGCAACGCTGGGCAAGTATCCAGGTAGAGGAATCATCAACAGGTGAAATTCAAGGTGCAGAAGACCTTGAATTGGGAAACCAGTTGTAAAACACCCATTAAGATGATTGAGACCCAGAGACTTGGTCCCCCTGGTAAAACAGAACCTATATATGTCTGTTACATTAGGTATAAGGTTTATTTCATAAATATAAAAATGCCAGTGTTTTTGCATTGAAATTATACTTATGATTATGTTATCCAAAGGACATTTTATCAATTATTTAAGGTTAATATATGTACTAGGGTAGAAACTGGATGACCCTGTATGGATTTGCAGTATTTCAAAACAGAAGAGAGGAAATTTTTTTGGTACAGGATGTTGCAGGATGGCTCCAAACATAAGAGTTTCCAAATTCAAGAAAGATCTAAGGTGTGTGCTTCTCCTAAATGATGAAATGGGGCACAGGCATATATCTGGAGCCGACCAGTGTCTCAATACTGTCACAGAAATAGGCACTGTGGGAAGCAGGGTATTCAAAATTGTGGGTTCAGTGTTTTGGACTTCCCATATTAAATGCTGAAACTGTATGGAAAGAAGTGTTCTCCTGGAGGTGCAGTGAGACAGGTAAAAATTAACATCTCATAAACCTTTAGGCCACTCAGGATTCGAATTCAACATGAGCTGGGAGGTGCTACTTCATCCAAAGGGAAAACACAACACATGAGTTGATGGGGTCACAGTTCTCCACAGGAAGAAAATGTATCCCCAGATCCTGCCAAGCAGCCTGCAGTTGCAGGAGCTGCTGTCTTGCATGGGAAGCAAAACTGATTCCTTCTCTTGCATTAGAGAACTTTCCTCACTCATGCTGTGAAGCAAACTGACTGTTAGTGTGGCCTGCACCTTGTTTTTTGTAGGTAGCTGCTGCTCCAGACCCAGAAATTTGTAGGACTTAGCAAGTGTGATTCCTTAATCATTTCATGTGAGGGAGAAGCTTACTCCTTGTACCTCATCACTAGGAAAAGAGAAGGGATTTGTCCAGGATTTCTGGAGATGTCAACAGCCAACTGCCTGGGGGTTGGTCTGTGCCAAGACGTGGCAGCATGACATAATGCTGCACCAGGGAATACAGACACACATACCAAGGAATGTGGTGATGGGGGAAAGCCATTGCTTCCTTACAGCCCAAGGAAGTGTGTAGACACCAGACTTCATGTTTATCTTGCTCTGCTGCTAGTCGGTTGGCTCTTTGGACTGCCTTGAAGACTGATAGTGTGGAAAGAGCGGTGCTAGTGGGAGAGAAGCAACCTCGGCTGTAAGTGGTGAAAGAATTTAATAGTCAGAGTCACCTCCAGTTCTGTGAACTGGTGGGAGATGGTTGTTCCAGGATCATACAGAAGCTGTTTTGAGCTATGATTGTGGCACACTTTCCCGGATGCTTCAGTCTCCAGTGCTGTCATCACTTGTCCCCCATACCCCATAAAAGCTGATAAAATACAAGCTTTGGTTTAGGCATCTTATTGGATTCAGCATAGCAAAGGAAAAGTGATGGAGCCAGAGCACAGCTGCTCTTCAGAGCATTTGCAGTGTCACAGGCATCTGGCTGTCACATCAGCTGCATCTGTTCAGCTGACGTAAGGACAACGTGAACAGGAATGTGCAGGAGTGTGCTGGGGGGAGGACAGAGGCCACTGTGTAAGATCTGATGTTACCCTGCGCACAGATCTGCAGAAATTAGGAGCTAGAGCTGCTGGCTGTGGCATGGAAGACTATTCACGTACATTAAAATTCTTTACTCAGTGTGTGATGTAAGGCAGCCTGTAGTCTTGCTGTTAGGTCTGTGGTCAGTGCACTCTGGAGTCATGAAGATTTCAAAATACCTCTTGACATTAAGCTTTCTGGAATTTTCTTTACTTTCATGCATTGAAACGGACATAGTCTCATGAGCTTAGCTGCACAGCACAAGAGCCATTTATTTGCTAGTTCGTTTTTTTTTTTTTTCTTAGATAATGTTGAGATTCTGTTTCTGGAGTGATCAAAACAATTCCTAGCTTTGCTTTTGCAAACTGAATATCATTTTTCGGAATCTGCTGGATTATTATTAAACCTATAACTGCATATGACAATAACTACAGAAATTAACTATATATAATTAGCTATAGCATGTAAATGTTATAATCTTAGAATACGTCCTGAAGCTTTTTGTCAGTATATGAAATGTTCTTACTTGGGTGTTTGCTATTTTGCCTTCAAATTAAAATAAAAGTAAGATATGAGAGTCATGATTTGTCATTCCAACTGAAATTTGTCATTGTCATCAAGAAACTAATCAAATTATCTGTTTCTAAAGAATTAACCTTATTTTACTAATATGTAAGGATACTTTCCAAGTCTACCAAATGCTTTGACAAATTCTGAAGCTTTGTTTGAAGTGGATTCATCTTACCCGACTTCAGGCACTCTGGTACTCAGGTGTCTAGCCTAGCCCAGTCACCCAAGCTGTTCCTGTTATCAGTGGAGAAGGGTGTGTTGCCAGATCCCCTCCCTGCTTATCTCAGACCTCTTTTGTATGAGGGCTCAGATCATTGTCAGGGTGCCCATCTCTCCCCACCGACTCACATGTGGACAAGTTTCAGGAGACATGTAACTCTGACACATTGGCTGAATCGGTATTCCCCAGAACAGGGGGGCAGAGTAGGTGTGGAGGGAGGTGGATTTGCAGCTCTGCTGCCAACCCCTAGGAAGTTAAGCCGCAAGAATTGTTGTGGATACCTTGGAAGTGCTCAAAACCACATTGGATTGGTCTGTGAACAATTTGATTTGGTGGAAGGTGTCGCTGTCCACAGCCCGAGGGTTTGGAGCTATCTGGTCTTTAAGGTCTCTTCCAACACAAACCATTCGATGAGTCCCTAATTTACCCATTTACTGGGTGTGATGTCTGAGCCTGTGACACTGATTTGGTACTTTGGTTGTCCCAAACCGTCCTGCTTTCTTGGCTTCATGTCCGGCAGCACACTGCTCCAGAGCTCAAGCTCCGGGCCCCTCCAGTGCCGCAGGTGCGGGGCCAGCTCTTTCCCCAGAGCTCCCTTTCCCCGGGGACCTCGGGCCGTGGGCAGCACGGCGGCTCCACAGCCCGGTCCGGGACACTCGGGGAAGGACGCACATCCCGGGGGCGCATCCCGGGGGCAGCCCGCGGGTGGTGTTCCCGGGGCAGCGGGGGCGGTGCGGGGCTCGGCGGGGCTCGGCAGCGCCCGCCCCCTCGGTGCCGCCCGGCCCCGCCCGGCCGCGGCCGCCGTGCCCCTCCCGGGGCAGGGACAGGGGCAGGCGGAGCGGGGCGGGGGGGACCGCAACCGGCGAGGCGTGATCGCCCGAGGCCCCTCCTGCCTGCCGGGGAAGCCTTAAAGCACCCCGGCGAGCACGGAGCCCCGCACTTGGAGCCCCGACGCTCGGGCAGACGCGCCTCGCCGAGCCCAGAGCCGCTCCGCTGCTACCGCCGTGAGTGCCGCGACGGGCGGGCCCGGGAGCGGGCTAGGGATGGGGATGGGGACAGGGATGGGGACAGGGATGGGGACGCGGGGCTGTCCGGGCAGGTCGGGGCTGCGCTGGGGCGGCCGCGCTGCTCCCGCCGTCGGGGCAGGTGCTGACGGCCGGTCTCGTCCATCCCGCCCCGCCGTGCAGATGCAGGGCACCGTGAGGCTGTGGGTGTCGGTGCTGACTTTCGCCCTGTCGCTGCTGGTCTGCCTGGGGACGCTGGCAGAGGCGTACCCCTCCAAACCGGACAGCCCCGGCGAGGACGCCCCCGCAGAGGACATGGCCAGATACTACTCGGCGCTGAGGCACTACATCAACCTCATCACCAGGCAGAGGTAGGCTGAGCGGGACGGCGCACATCTCCCTTCCCGCTCCCCGGGATGGGCTTTCCCTTGGCGAGGCTCGGGGAGGAAGGTGGGGGTGCCCCTTCACGCTTTCCCCAAGGACACGGAGAAAGACGTGGTGCAGATTCCTTTTAGAGAGCGATGCCCGTTAAACCCTGAGTTGCTGACGGGTCCGGAGCTGGATTTCCACCGCGCAAATTGGCAGAAGGGGCAGGGGTGTCAATGCTCTGCTCTCTCCGCCTCTTCCAGCGCTGGCACAGACAGGCAGGAGCATGAACAGGGCACAGGGAGGACCCCCAAAAGGGAAAGATAACTAACCTGGGAGATGGAGAGAGCTAGACAGGGCACTAGGAGCAGTTTCCCACTTCTGTTGCTGTCACTGAGTCCAGTGAAGATTTTGGTGAGAAAAAGTGCCCATTGTGGAGATGTAGTAGTCCAGATGCTTTGTGGTTTGTAGGCTACTTCGTGACCTGAGAGTGCCAAAAATCCCACTTGTTCTAACAGAACCCTCTCTCAAAATTGAGAAGTCAAGCCCAATCTGAAAGAGGGAAAGGTGTGAACCCAAGCCTGCCTGGCTCTAAACTGGGCTTTCTGGGTTGACCGTGCTTCTTAAAGTACGGGTAAAGGCTCAGTCTGAAAAAAAAAAAGGCAAGTTATTATAAAAAAATTATCTTCTTTGATAAAAAATCGTCTGTCCAGTTAGGCTGTGTGATTGATAGATGTTTGCCCTGAGATCGCACGACAGTGCGTGACCCAGAAGAGCTTTGACATATTTATCTATTTGTTTAATATCAAGACCAGACTAGAGGTCTAAAATTAGGCTTTCATTTGTCCCTCTAGAAGTCTGAAGAATTAAATTAGAAGAGTGGCTATCGTGCAACTGAGAGCTTTCCCAGCAACCCCCTGACATTGTCTGCCACTGCCTTAGGAGCATAAGATGGACGAAGGGGCTGATAGAAATACAGTTTTTCAGTTCTGAAGTTTTAAAGAAATATTCACAACTGCTTCACATGCTTCTGTGTGACAGTCAAATAACCTCTTGTCTTACAATAGGATTACTGCTAAAATAATCCAGTCCTCAAATTCTGCCTTGGCTGCCATTTTGCCTTGCATGCAGTAGGCTCTCCAGGCTGGTGTCTCATCCATTCTTTTCTTTCTTTAATTTCCCATTTCAAAGGTGGCTCCTGTCCAAAGCCAGGTCATATTTAAAAACAAAAAAAAAATCCCAAACAATCCTCCCTTTCTCTGTTTAGCCTCCACTTCTGGTGTGTGCCCTGTGTGCTTGCTTTAATATTGACTGTGTAGCTTTTATCCCGATTTTATGAGTTGTAAATACAGAACTCAGAGACGGAAACCAGTTTCATTCTTTTGTATGGATTTGGGGTCTGAAATGAACTAAAATGATTATTATTTCTGGTGGATAAAATTTGAATTTTGTTCTTTAGATTTTCCTCGTATTTGCTACTCACTCTTGTATTTAAAAGAGGAGAGTTGACCTGGAAGTACAGGAAAGTTGGCAGAAAAAAAGCACTACAATGATAACTTTGTGATACACATTTAAAAGTTGACTGCACAGGTTAACTAAAAAACAAAAAAAAAATGTGCTGTTTTTCCACTGTGGTGAATTAACAGTCCAGAAATAAAGCAATTGCCACTTCCATTTGGAAAGCTTAACTGAGCTCCTGTTTTGGCAATCACTTTGCAAGTGACTGCGTCACTTGCAAAATGATTCAATAACTTTTGAAGCATTTTGGACCGATCTAAGGATGATTGGTCTGTTTCAGCAGATGTGCTCAAAGTTTTCTCTCTTCTTACAAATTTTTTATCTCTTTTTTTTGCATAGTACTGCTTGGGAGCCCTGTGGCAGGGGGAAGATGAGGTCCAGGGGCTCACTCAGCTCCATCTGTGGTGGGTGAGCAAGCTGTGCCCAGCATCTCACCCGACCTGGTGCCTGTAGCTGGTGAGGTGAAGCAGTAAGAACATGTTGGCAAAGGAGGAGATGGATTTTTTTTTCTTCAGGTTCATCTGCCCTCTCTTGTTTGATGTTTTTGTGATTATGAATACCACCCCCACCTCCTGGCTGCTCTTTCTGCCTTCTGCTTCTGGCCTGACTCAAGCATTTGAGTGCCATTCCCCTCTGAGCTACTGTGACCCCCAGGGTCTTCACCTGAGCTCAATGAGCTTCTTCCTTCCAGACCACCTTTCTCTTCTTGTATTTAGATGCATCTCTTCTTGTCCATCTGGCTGACTGCTCCCTCTCTCCTTTGAAATTCATCTTCAGGTCCATCTCAGTTTTAGACACCAGTGCCTGTCAGCTTTGGTGTCCCTTCGAGGTTACCTGAAGTAACCTCAGGGCTGCCAGCAGGTCACGAGACCTGTTTCAGGCTTCTTGTTTCTGATGAGATTCCTTGCTCCTTAGGTGCCAGCTCTTTAAAGCCTAAAAGAGAGCCCAGCACAGATGCAGACTCCTGCTCTACAGATGTCTGTGTGTCTTTAGATTAGTTCCACCTTCATTTCCTGAACTGTCCTGTGGTCTTTGCCTAATGCCTCTCTACCACTCTGTTCAGGAGGCTTTTTTCAGAGTCCATCTTTACTTGAATCACTCCTCCTCCTCCTGCTGCTACTTGCTGCTACCTGTGCTCCCCCTTGCTAACAAATTATCTTCTTTCCTTGTCACTTGCAGCTTCTCTGTGAATCTGTGGCTGTTCTGTGCTGTAGCAAAGCAGCCAGGCCATTCCTGCTGGAAATGGCTTGAACCGTAGGCAGGGCAGAGAGTATATTAAAGTGTGTATGACTTGGGCAGTGCTGCTGCTCCTGATTCATGTCAACACCCTTTAATGGGCAAGGGAGCAGATGTCCCTTTGCTTTGGTTTCTTGACAATTTTCTGAATCGGACCCAGAGATGCTTCTGAGACGACTCAGCAGGTGTTGCCAGCTTTGGACACCAATGGGATTTGAGTCCTTACACCCAAGTTTCCATAGAAAGCTTGGAGATTTTGCTGAGCCTGACACATTGGGTCCTTATTCAGAATCAGAATGTTTACTCCTTAAATCTCTTTGACTTCAGCTGGAGCTGAGGCTTATCAGCATGCCCCAAAGCAGGCCTTGATAGTAGTCCACTTATACCCAAATGGAGTATAAAAACTGACCAGTTGTTTTCACCTGGCTTGGAATCATGGTATTTCTATGTCTTTTAAAGCAGCCGTGATTTTTGATAAATGTGTATCTCAGAGCAAGGAGCAAAGCACAAAGCAGCTGGAGCAAAGACTTCTCAAGGCACTTGCATCAGGAAAAAGAGATTGACTCTGTCTGTGACTCCTATTTAGTAAGTCAGTAGCATGCATGTTTCCCAGGGGCAAAATGACAGGAGAGACAGGAGACTGACAAAGGAAGAATGGATTTTCTTTGGGCAGCCCAGTGAACACTTTGTGTGTAGCTTTGCTATGTGAGGACATAGTGGGTCCATCCAAAATGCTGAAGGAACCCATATAAAATATATCTCCCCAACACAGTGGTCCTTACTATTTGAGTGAATCTCTGCACTCTGGATGGTTGCTAACTACTTCTTATTCAAGCAAAACTTCCTGAGAGATTAGTGGGAGTTTTGTCCAAGTGTGAGGTGCTAGAGCAAGTTTTGATTAATCAAATCATTTTCTTTAACATAACAGAAAATTAGCTTTCTCCTCAGTTGAAGTCCAGGTCACATCCATATTAATTGGAGCCGGGAACTAGAAAGAAATAAAGCTCTTTGTGGTGATGGAGTGCAAGGTATTTGATTCAGCACCATGCCTGATTGCACTACTGTAATAGCATTTTACTGTGTCTGGATGGTTCTTTTCAAATACCTGTTTTCAGCCAGCTCAGATTAAGAAATTTAGCTTTCTGAAACTGATGCTTTGTCTTTCTGGAGCACAGGTGATGCACTAAAATGATTAAAGCAATGTAAAAATACAAGAAAATTGTATTGAAGAAAAGGATTGAAAAGTGAGATACACTTTTAAGGAAATTACACAATCGACAGTTAAAACTGCTAGTTTTTTAAATGTAGTTTGGGAAGTTTTGGGGTTTTTTTTTTGCTAATCTAAACCACTGGAATGACTTGAGTCACTAGAGAAACATCATGATAGTAATGGATAAAATGTAAGTCCTTAACTACACCTTTGATTTTTCTGAAATCAGAATTTCACTCAAGCAACAATCACAAAAGCTTCTAATGTACTTTGTGATTCAAAATGCAATTGCATACACAAGTTAAACTGTGATCTTAATTCTTTCCAACCAAGGGAGCGTTTGCTCATAGTTATCACTCTTAGGCTAATGAATCCTTGTAGTGATGAAATGCCTGTCAAGCAGGCTGCTCATTGCTGCTTCTGTTTTCCCAGGAAAAGAGATCGAATTCCTTCCCAAGTAATGGAAATTGCAGTACTTTTAACTGTTGAGTAATGTACAGTAATCCAGGATTAAAAATCAAAAAGGCAAATAGAAAGCCAGCTGCTGCATGAATATAGGACAAAGGTAGCCCCTGATCCTGGAGTTGAAGAAGAGTTCTGAAAGAGCAAGTTTTCATTCCCACAGCCACATAGTTCAAGATGATGACCTTGGGATAGCTCAGTGCTTGCAAATTAATGTGCTATGTATTGGGCAGCCCCAAATGTACTGGCTATCTTAAAAAAATCTTTCAACATTTCTGATGAAGGGTAAGTATAATCTAAACCAGTGAGAAAGTTTATGGGATGATGGAGGTGGGTTTGCAGGCAAGAATGACATGCTTGGAAGTCACATCATGCACAGCTTCTTCCCTCTTCCTCCATGCTCTCATTGGTAAGGTGCAAGGTCCTAGAATATCCAGGAACAGCCATCAAACTGAGAAACATTCAGTTTCTCAATATTATAATGTAAAATAATTATGGAAAAATGTAGAAAGATACAGAAATAAGAATTAACATTTGCTCATGTGGCTAAGCCAAATTAAAATTCTTGCTGGAAAGTGGTATTTATGTCTGCTCAATTTTTTCTTTTCTGAAAAAAAATCGCTAATGGTTCTGTGCGCAGTCCTCGTTTGTAAAAAGTGACATATGCAGAAATATAACTTTTAAAATTTTTCCCTCAGATATGGAAAGAGATCAAGCCCAGATACACTGATCTCAGACCTCTTGTTGAGGGAAAGCACAGAAAACATTCCTAGATCCAGGTATGTATGAAGAGCTCATTTGAATTTAAGTCTCATTTGTTATCAATAAATATGTTTTGTAGGGACAAAACATGCCACCGGCAGCTGGTTAATCATGTCCTTAAAGCAAAAATCTTTAATTCCTTTTTTTTTAAGGGATAGCACCATCTATGAATGCAAGAAGTGCCTTACCAGGTATGATATAATCCAAACTCTTCATTTCCTGGTTCTGGGAGCAGGCCATACCTTTGGTATTGTATATGCCACTTGTATTCAGAGGAAGGGAAGCACTCTGACAACACTTGCCCCATTCTGGGCACTTTTACATGGAATTGTATGCTGATGTCTGATCATGATTCCCTACATATTAGAGCTCTAAAGATGGCATATTGCTGTTCATTTGCTGCTCATACAAATTTAAATCTTTCCTCTAGAGATGTATAAGTGGTAAATGTGCACCTACACTAACTCATACACAAATGCACAGCCGTGACTGTCTTTAAAATACAGTATTTCACATTGGTTTTGTATCTGTTATTTTACAAAGAGAAAAAAGGCCTTTATGTTTCCATTTGAAATTGGCTAAAGTAACGGTGGTGTTTCAAACAACACTGGAGTTTCAAATGTACATAATGTATTTATCTAGTTAGGTAATGATACTCTAGCCATAATGTAAGATACTGTAGTAGTGACTGCAATTTACACAGCTGAAAATTAAGTATGTTGGAAAGGTAGGATGCAGGGGGAGTTTTGGCTCATAAAGGAAAATACTGGTTTTATCACAATCCAGCATGAATTAGCTCAGTTTAAGCCTTTACTGATTATCTGAAGTTTGCTGACAATACTTCTACTGCAGGAATAAATATTTTATGCAGTTGTCTTCTCAGGAGTCCACGAGCAAGTGCCCTGCAAAGGCTCAACTGGACGAGCTGAGTACTTAAACACAATAGCCCATAGCATTGAGTTTAGGGCATGATCGTGACACTGAAAGGTGACCCAAAATTCCTACTGCAATCCAGAGAAGTTGCCCATGAGATCTGCAGTTCTGCACTCAGGGGGAGCATTGTCTGATGGTTTGATGACTAACCACAGCTGTGGGGATGCAATTTTCTCTGCAGATTCTTATCTGGAAAACTGCATGGAGTGCAGTGAAATGTATTAGACTATTTTGTGTTTGGTAATGACAAGGGAGAGCCTTCATATAATGAGAAATTTCCACTGTCTTGAATTTGAGGCAACACACAGGGTAGTTAGTACTTATACTCTCTAATATATCTCCCTAATAGTCTAATACTCTCTGTAATTTTCACCCCTTCATCACAAAACTTTATGATTATTATTATTGTTTCAATAATGCTATTTATAACACACCAGGGAGCAAAAATTCATGAGCAAAATAACCAGCTAGTCTGCAGTTAAGATCAAGAATTGATGAGAAGCAGATTTTTATTTCATACCCCCTGTAACAGCACTTTAAACTGAGTATGGTATTTTTCACTCATGGCTGACAGTTATGGGAGTACTGGGACCAATGATGCCTAGTTTCCTATGGATATGTTTTCTAGGATAAAACTTGGTATGGATTCTGAAGCCCACTCCAACTTTTTCCTCCATGTGAGGACACAATTAAATTTTATTTCTATCTAGTCCTGTGTTTCGTGGCACATTGGGAGCTAAATGTCTCTAAAATCCGTGTACCTCTCCTTGACTTGGTTGAAATTGTCCAAAAGGTGTGAAAGCTGAGGAGAGGCACACAGGGTTCGGCAGCTGGACACACAGCACAGCTGCCCAAGCCTTCCTCCTGGGGGAAGCCAGGCTGAATGAATGAATGAAAGGCTGGCTGCTATTATTCTGACTTTAAAATAAAGAAATGTTTTAGAAATAGTTACACAAAAAGCGAGTTACGGAGCAGGTGTAATTTGCACTCAGTGAATCAGAGAAATACCTCATGAGTTCTCGGGAGCTGAACTTTGTAACTAAACACTGAGATAATGATAAATAACTTAATTGTATTCAGCTTGACAGGCCTGGTTTGACATTTCACTTTTGCTGACTAAAATACACCCCAAAGGATGTTGTAGTCTGGGTGTATGTCTGAACATATGAAGAAATTGTAGAGAGATTCTTTTAGAAACTGATTACAAAATAGGAAGTTAAGGATTTAAAAAAGTGGTGCCTTGACCTGAGTACAAGTAAGTTCTTATGACAGAAATGTGTGATATGGCATGTTTCTGATGTTGTTGGTCTTGTGGACTGATGAGAAAATGTTTAATACTCAGTAATGGGATGTATATCTCCTGATGCTGCCTCTTTAAAAATGAGATATCTAGTGTGAAGTGCTTGTCTAGGTTGCTTCTGCAGTCAATCAGAGGGATGAGTAATTTCCAGAATGAACTTTCCTTCCTAAAATGCATAGGGTCTCAGTTGCCCTCTAAGGTGTCCATGTCTCTCCAGTGACTGTGGAAGCAGATTAGATATTTAATCAAGACTTGATGTGCTACTTGTAGATGGGAAAAATTATGGCAAATGCATTTCTCCTGGTCTTTTTCCATGTTCTCCTACTTGTTACCTTTCCTCTGTGTAGACAAAACATCTGTTTTCAAGCAGAGGATCTCTGGATAAAATCCTGCCTTCAGCAACCCTTTCAATACATTTCAAACACTTAATATTGAGCAGTGGAATACCACAGTAATATTTTAGGATGGTGGCTTTGAACTTGGGTTTTGTTTAAAGGTGCTTACAGCATGGTGTGATTTTGTTTGGTTCACTGAGTTCTCTTTGAAAGTTGTTTACTCCTGAGTTAGAGTGGAAAATATATCTTTAAGAAATTTGTACTTCAGCATAGCATAGTTTTCTAGCTTAATTTCACTAAGTGTTATTTAATGGTGTAAGGCAGCTTTGTAGCTAGTCTCAACCATGTAAAACGTAGCACCAGGGTAGCAGGACATAGGCAAGTTCTGTACCAAAGTACAGATTTTTGGCAATTCATAATGCATCTGGTTTTTTTGGAGTTGCATATAAAATCTTCAACTGCAAATATGCATATATATTTCTCATCGCTGCTATTAATGAATGTTTTAGGCAGTTTTAACATTGAATTTTTTCAGAGGGGGCTTTAATATATGTTTAATGTGGTTTTTTTATTCATAATATGTGTTGCAGGTTTGAAGACCCTTCGATGTGGTGATGGGATTTTCAGCACACCTTCGAAACTTTTCCTAGTTTTCAGTTCATACTCCACACCTCTGAAGCAAATCACAGCATCATCCCCAGTGCATGCAGCCATTGTACCAAATTCTGTAGAGTTTCTCTCCTTCATCATATTTGTATACACCTTTATTTAAATAAATTATTTGTGCATTCCAAAATGTAACATACTAAATGAAAACAAACAACAATGTCATTGGTATAACAAAGCATTGTTTTAAACTATTAAAACTGAATTATAACTTCCCTGTAGTGTGAAGTAATGTGGACAACAATGGTGTCACAGTTACTACAGTAATTACTGTGCAGAGATAAAGACATTTTTTATTGTGGCCTCAGACTCAGCTCAAAACTGTTTAAAATAATTTATCACAGACTGCATAACTTAGGAAAACAGTGTTCTGAGAGGCAATTTTTCAGAATGGCCATCCTAAAAACTTATTTAGTGCTTACATTAGCAAATGTAATAAAATTAATGGCATTTGTGAAATGCAAAAGAATAAGTCACTGCTTAATTCTGCTAACTCCTCGAAACTGGTTTGATGCTTGGCTGTAAGCCTGAACTAGTAATTTTAAATGAAACAGATGTAACATCTTTGTTTTGGCAATATGCAAAATAGCAGAAAAATAACATCTAAAGTAATTCATAAACCAAGACAAGACTGCAATTTGTGCCAGAAAGGAGACATCTAATATTGCCTAAGGCCTTGTAAAGTACCAGAGTGATAAATCCCAACCCTTGGGCTACTTGCCCTCCAAGTCTCTCTCATTTGGAGTTATTAATTTATTATTTGGAGTTTCTGTTTGTACCATAAGGAGAGCCACAGAACAGGGACAAGGTGAGCTATCTCCAGGTTTACATTTTCTTATTTTTGGATTTTATAAGTTTACTCACTAGTGTAATGGGGGTCTTACACACACTTGAAGTTTTTACTCAAAGTAGTATAAGAATGGCAGCACCTTCCACTTGTTCTTAAGTGGTTCTGGTTCACAGGTGTGCATCCTGGCCAGGACCCAGACTGTGCACTACACAAATGCTGGTCTCTGCTTCCTGATACACCATTTCTTTTCTTTAGACACTTGACTAAACAATGCATAATAAAGCACATAAAGAAGTTCCAAACTGGAAAAGAATCAGCATGAAGGTTTAATCTATTTAGATGTCCTTCCCACTTTTCAAATGCTTCCACATGGCTGTTGCCCCCAGGAGGGATGCATCAGTGCAACTGAGTTCCAGGTTTCTATAAATGTGTTTGCTAAGTGTTACCAGCTCACCACGACTGGCCAGCTTTTGTGGTCACACTGTCTTCAGCAAAGCACTACATAGTTTTCCTTTCCATAAAACACTGGGGTGTCACTGGAACTGGCAAACTTAGCTTTCAGCATCAACACTTTAACTTACAGACTTGATGATGGTTCTATAGTGCTGCATGTGGAATTGTGACAATTAAGAGCAATCTACAGTCACAAAAATTATTGGGGCCCCTGGGGTGTACTAGTTTGAAAACAAACCAGTTGGAAATTCAAAGTCAGAACTATAAATTTATAGGAAAATTAAGATAAAGGCAATAGTACAAAAACACTGACCTAAACTGACAGAGTCAGAATGTGACCTGACAGCCTGTGATGGAACAGTTTGATTAAATGGTGGCTACAGTCCCACTGGAGTGATGGATGTGGTTTTGTCAAAGCAGCGATCCTGTAGAAAGATCTGATCTTTCTCTGGAAGTCCAGTGGTGGATATCGAGCTCTTATCCTCTGGGAATCCAGTAGTAGTGTTCCTGTGGTGTTCCAAGCCACAGATTATATCCGGGAGTGCTTGGTTCCTCCCCCTGGGCGGGGGCATCTCACAATGGGACGATGTAACTCTATCAGTCATGCAGTGAGACTTGATGGCCCATGAGTGCAGATAACCCTCAGAGGGAGTTATCAGGGATGAGTCATGGAAGAGATAAAGAACACTGCCCCACCTGTTCTAACATGGAGATGGTCACAGAATACATACTTTGGTTACACCTTTTCAACGTGTCTCATGACACAGGATATAACCATTGCCACTCAGGCAATAATGTTCAGAGGGACCTCAGGATGGCCACCTGCTGCTGGAGTGAGCAGGTGTTCTTCAATCTCAGGCCAGGACCTGCTGCAGCAGATTACACAGAATATTCTGCCTTGAGTAATTATTAAAATGAAAATTGAAAGTTATTGAGGTAAATTATACACAATATCTTTAATTCCTGCTAATTTTTAGTATCTCTGTACATGTACACTAATGACCATGTAAATTCCAGTATCAGTGATGATAAAAATGATAAACTAATCTTATGTTGCTTGTACTATCATACAAGTGTACCTTAGGGGAGAAAAAGAGAGTTAAAGAATTAGCGCATGCTAAACCCTTGTGCTGATTTGTTCCACTCAATTACCTGATTTTTCCTGAACTTTGAGAACACTCATCTGTATAGAAAAGCTATTACCTCAAGAGCTCTCAACGACAGAAGCAAGGCAAAGCACTCACACAATATTTATTTATCCACTTTGTGATACTATTTTCTTTCTAAAATCTTCCTCTGTTCTCTAGGGCAGACACAACATTGCCGTAGAATTCCAGCGGGCTTAGTTCTTAGCTTCCTTGTGTACTTCATATACCACTCTTGACAGGCCAGGACACTGAAAATATTGTATCAGTTCTCCAAATCAGAAGATAGACCTAAAAGATGAGCTGTGAAATGAAGATAAATACCAGTTTTCTTTGGTGTATCTTCTGCATTTTGACTTCAGGGTTAAGTTTTTCATCTTTTTCTCTCTAACCATGAAAAACAGAGCTTTGTTTCTAAAACAAAGGCTAAAATTTATGTTAGAATCTGAGGAAGTGCCAGGAAAAACAAGGATTAATAAGCATGAAAGTAGGTAATAATATTTTCTCCTTTATTTATTGTGGGTTTGAAATAATGAGAAATGTCCTTAAATAGGTGTCAGACATGTAAAAGACTATCCACCTTTACCTTTGGCAATTTCTGTGAAATACATCACAGTTATGCCCAACTTTGATTTAATCAGAGGAGATCTAGATGATCCCACCTATTTTCTCTTCCAGGACAGGAAATTCTCTCTATCTACTTCTCTCTCCATCTCTACAAACCGAGCCCAATGCAGTGCTTTCAGCCCTGAAATTCTCTGTGCCAGAAGACCCTCCATCATAGTACTCCAGTGTGAGCAGTGCTGCCCAAACATGGCACTGTGTTGGGGTGAGGTGGGATTTACCTGGTAGCTGGCAAATAAATTCTAGGTGCCAGGTGCTTAGGGTGAGGTGCCCAGGAGCACTTGGCATATGTGGGAGGGGTATTTTCAAGCTGAACTGACCATTGCTCTGTGTTTCCCATGGGTTATTACATGTCTTGCCTGGCCACATGACCTTCAGAGATGCCTGTGTAAATACAATACTGGACCTTTTTTCCCACTGCCACCCTTGTGTTATCACCTGATCACCATTAGCCACTGAAAGCCAACAAACATTAAAAAAAAAAAATCAGCAGAATCAATCACAAAATCATAGAGTACCAGCTGGAAAGGAACTTCAAGGATCACCTGTTCAAACCTTTCTTGGCAAAAGCATGGTATAGACAAGGTGGTCCAGCAGCCTGTCCAGCTGAATTTCATAAATGTCCAGCTTTAGGGAATCCTCCACTTCCCTGTGGAGATTCTTTTCCTTGTAAAAAATGAGTGGCTGATTGTTATTGTGAAAATTTCTCCTCTTGTGTTCAATGAGAACCTCCCCAAGAGTAACTTGTCCTCATTATCCCTCGTCTCTTTCTTGTGACTGCTTGTAAAAAGGGAGTCTCCCTCTTCTTGGTGGCCACACTTTAAATGCTGGAGCACGGTGATGGGGTCCTCCAAAGCTGCCTTTTCTCAAGGGTGAACCAACCCTTTTGTCTCAGCCTTTCCTCCCATGTCAGGCTGGCCAGGCCTTTGATCATCTTTGTGGCCCTTCTCTGGACCTCTCCAGCCTGTCCCCATCTTTTCTTGTACAGCAGGGACCGGAATTGAACATAGTATGCTAGGTGTGACAAGCACTGAGTTCAGTAAAGAAAACAAAAATTTCCAGATGGATTTCAGTGAAGGTAGAAAACTAAAAAACGTAATATAACATACAGTAATGAAAAAAAAAAATACTCTTGCTTTGTTTTGGTGGGTTGGCACCCTGAGTAAGAAAGTGCTACTGAGTGGAAATTGCCTAACTAATGCAGTAATTCATATCAGGTCAGTGTATTTTATTTATCTGGCTGTATTGTTAACAGTCATTTATTTGTCTGTATTACAGCAGCACCTGGAGACTCCAGATATGGGGCTCATTGTGCTCCAGTCTGTAAGACCATAATAAAACAAAAAAATCTAGACTACAGAGATATTCCATCCACGTGCAAAGAGAGAAAGTGGGAGGAAACTCGGACTCATAAATAAAATGATTAGTAAGTTATAGTGGTCCTACTGCACCTGCAGCCTTGCCCTTGTAGACTCTTGGATTACAGCAATTAAGAACGTGCTATAAAACAAGTAGTGCAACATTATCTTGTTTCCAGTTAATATGTGTGTTTGCTAAGATCTCCCTTATCTTAGTTAATTGCTTTTCTCTAATGACCCAGTCTTTGCCAGACCCAGAGACCTTCCAAGCTATATTTAGCTACAAGCAGCTCCCACCTGCCTGTAATGAACACTCAGCTCAGAAGATTTCAGACTTTTCTCTCT